GAGCTCACAAAGATCCACCTGCCTCTGCCTCCCAAGTGCTGGGATTAAAGGTGTGTGCCACCATGCCCAGCTAAAACTACCTTTTTTTTGTTTGTTTTAATTATATTTAGTGTGTGTGTGTGTGTGTGTGTGTGTGTGTGTGTGTGTGTGTGTGTGTGTACAAGATGTGTGCGTGTGGGGGTGAGAGGACAGCAGATAAGAATTGTTTCCCTCCTTCCACCATGTGCGCTCGTGGGAACACACTCTGTGTGACAGACTGGATGTGTGCATGTGGAGGTCAGAGGACAGCTGATAAGAATTGGTTCCCTCCTTCCACCATGTGGGCTCCTGGGATCAAACTCAGGTTGTCAGACTTGGCAGCAGGCACCTTTACCTGGTAACCCATTTTGCTAGCCCCAAACTTCTCTTGAAACTTCCCTGATACTCTCATATCCCTAACAGAATAGTACCACCTGAATTTAGAACCCACCAGTCCCACAAAGATCTCTCCTAATTCCACAGGCTGACCTTACTCACCTGGCCTGTGCACAGTCCCACTACCAGGTCAGCAATGAATGTGTCCTCTGTTTCTCCTGAGCGATGACTCACCATGACTCCCCAGCCATTCTCCTGGGCCAGCTTGCACCTGCATCACACACCAGCACTGATCCCCAGCCTGTAGCATGGGCATTCCCTCCAACCCTCAAGTCTATGGGAAGCTGTCTAGGAAAGGGGCAGGTAGAGGATAAAGTGTAGAGATAACAGAGATGAGAGAACTGTGAAGGGGATGTCAGGTTCCCAGCTCTTTTCAGCAGCCCAGGGCAGGATCAGGCTGGGGGACTTGCAAGAGGAATCCTGAAGAAACAGGGGCAGGTGGGAGAGGGTCAGAAGCTACTCACGCTTGGATGGCTTCTGTCACTGAGCCAATCTGGTTGACCTTGAGCAGCAAACAGTTGCAGGCCTTTTCCTCCACTGCCCGCTCAATGCGCTTTGGGTTGGTCACTGTCAGGTCATCACCCACTATCTGGATGCCTACATTGGCTGTAAACTTGGACCAGGCTGCCCAGTCATCCTGATCAAAAGGGTCCTCAATGGAGACCACTGCAGAGGGAATGGTGAGAGACTTGATCTTTCTTGGTTTCTGCAGGGTTACCCCCTTTGATTTCCTGACTAACAAACCTTCTCATCTTCTCATCCTTGCTCCTCCACCTTTCCAGCATAAGTCTGCTCTGATTCTTATCCTAATCCTTGTTTCATAAAATTTCCAGTAACAAGGGTTCTGAACCTTCTTCATAGCCACACTTAGTTTTTCCTATTCTCACTGCCGGAATGCCCTTCCTCATTACTGGTCTAACTTCTTCCTTTTCAACTGATGTCTATTTTATCTTTCTCTGTCTCAGGAAGATGGAGACCAATTGCTTCCATGGTGGGGTAGAAACCTTTGGTAGACAGGACAATTCAGCCCCTCCTTGGCTACCTTTTCCATACAGACAGCAGTGCCCATCTATTCGGCATCTAGTCTCATCAATCAAAGTTACTAAAATGAGGCCACCTCTCTTTTTCTTTTCTTTTCTTTTTTTTTTTTTTGAGACGGTCTCCCTATAGCCCCAGCTGTCCTAGAACTCACTATGTAGACCAGGCTGGCCTTGAACTCACAGAGATCCGCCTACCTCTGCCTCCTGAGTGCTGGGATTAAAGGCATGTGCCACCACACCCACCTCATGGCCACCTCTCTATATGGACATCTCTGGCTCCTTCCAGAGCCTGCCTTATGATCCCAGTAGCTCTTATAGCCCAGATGGAAGAGACTCATCACAGGCCCACGTACATTTTTTTGTTGTTGCTTTTTTTTCTTGGGGGAAGGGGTAGGGTCTCACTATGTAGCCCTGGCTGGCCTGGAACTCAATAATCTGCCTGCCTCTACCTTCCGAGTGCTGGGATTAAAGCCATGCACCACCATGCCCAGCAGTACATGTACATTTACACGCAAAGCAGAGCTCTGCAGGAGCATCCTTCACCTTTTCCCTGTTTCTCAAACTCCTTAGGACATCATTTGGCACTAGACTCAGCACCCCATAAAGTTCCCAGTTGCCCTAGAGGGTCTCTCCACACCTCCTTCCCTGTCTCTCACATCCCTTGCTCTTACCAGGATAGTTTCTGACAAAGTCCTGGTAGAGTGCCCCCAGCTGGTCCCCAGTGATGTATCGGGAAGGATCAGCAGGAGACTTGAAATCCAAGTCATATTTGCCATCACGATAAAATTCGGAGGCAGCAACATCCATGCCAATGACGATCTTTTCCGTATAGCCAGTCTTGTCAATGGCTTCCTTCACCAGCTCCAAGGCTAGAGACAAGCACAGTGAGGTTATAAGGAGGAGAAGTGGGTAGGGAGGAAAAAGGGAAAGAATAGAAATTTAGAGCAGGAGAGGACTGTTGCAGGGCAGGTATGGCTAGAGCCTGGGAGGAAAGGCCATCTAGGGAGACAAGGAGTGGAATTCTGTTACTAGTACTGTTGGGCCCCAATCTTTGCTCTACTCTTAGTACTGGGGCTTGAACCTAAGGCCTCACTCATGCTAGGAAAGGGCTCTACCACCAAGCCACATTCCTAGCCCTCTTTTTACTTTTTATTTTGAGACAGGGTCTCACTAAGTTGCCCAGGCCGGCTTTGAACTTACAATCCTTCTTCCTCAGTCTCTTAGTTTTGAGATGACAGGCCTGTGTCACCAGGTCTGACTAGCAGTATCTTTTTATTGGTATCACCTTGGCAACTTTACATATATGATCTCATTATCCCCAGTGACTCTACAATGTAGAAGCTTGCATTATTCCCAATTACCAGATTAAAAAAAGAAATGCAGAAAAAATTAAGAACGATCACCAGTCAATACCTGTGTTTCCTTGCATTTTTGTGTGTTTGCTTGTTTTTTTTAATTTTGGTTTTTTTGAGACAGGGTCTTTTGTAGCCTCAGCTGGCCTAGAGCTCGCTATGCAGACCAGGCTGGCCTTGAACTCACAGAGATTTGTTTGCCTTTACCTCTGGAGTGCTGGGATTAAAGGCATGTGCCACCACACCCAGCTGTTTGCTAGTTACTTATTTTGGAGACAGGGGTCTCACTATGTAGCCTAGGCTTGCCTCAAGCTCAGGGCAACCCATCTGCCTCAGCCGCCTAAGTACTGGAAATTCCAGCCAATAACTCTTCAAGCCAAGGTTCAAATAAGTGCAAGTAATTTGGTTTCAAAGCTTTAACTTCTGTGTACACGTGTGTGTGTGTGTGTGTGTGTGTGTGTGTTGCTGGGGGTTGAACTAAGGGCCTGCCTCGAACATGCTAAGTGCTCTACCACTGAGCCACATCCCCAGCCTAGTACCTTAACTTTTTTTTTTTTTTGGTTTTTTTTTGAGACAGGGTCTCCCTGTAGCCCCAGATGGCCTGGAACTCACTATGTAGACCAGGCTGGCCTCGAACTCACAGAGATACCCCTGCCTCCAGAGTGCTGGGATTAAAGGCGTATGTCACCACCCCTGGCTGTACTGTAACTTTTAACCACTGCCCACTATCTATATAATTTCCACTTGAGGCAGTTTTTCCTAGGGCACAGAAAAAGTAGAGATTCTAGAAGCCTGAGAGGCTGCTGGGAAGGGAGTGGGACATATTTGGAATGACTTCCTTGGAGTATGTATATCTTATCAAACTAAGACTATGGCATTAAAGGATGGACCGTGCCCAGACCATTTTCCAGTAGTCCCACTGGGTCTGAGAACTCTCAGATGTTAACAGTTTCAGCTGGGCAGGTGAAAGACTCTCCTCCCTTGTCCATGTGTAAATTTAGAGGCCCCCCTGCCCTCCCACTGCCAGCAAGGATTTTTGGAAGTTCAAGGACCCTCCACCCATGCCCCTCAGGACTTAAGTGTGTGACAGTTTCCAAGGTGAGACTCAGAGCTGGAGTGGGCTCCTGGCCTCACCTTCACTGTTCTCCAGGATATTGGGGGCAAAGCCACCTTCATCCCCCACATTAGTGGCATCCTTGCCATACTTGTCCTTGATGACCCCCTTGAGCGTGTGATACACCTCTGCCCCGAGTCGCATGGCATCCCGAAAACTTTCAGCGCCCACTGGGAGGATCATGAACTCCTGCATGGCTAACTTATTCCCAGCATGAGAGCCACCATTGATCACGTTGAAGGCCTGGGGAGCCACAGATGGTCAGAACAGTCAAAAAGCCATTCTCTCTTGACTCTGAGAGTGTTAACCCAAGATCCCAAACTGCCCTTAGATGCCCAGACTCAGGTCTCACATCCTGGTCCTTTCCCTTTAGCTGCCCCTTCACCTTTTCCCCCCTCATCCCTTGAGGTTGCATGCTCCCTCCCTCCCCTAGAAGGGCCTAGACAGATGCAGGTGCTCACCGGCACGGGCAGGATGAGGTCTGAGTTCCCAGCCAGCTGAGCAATGTGGCGATAGAGGGGCAAGTCCCGCTCAGCCGCCCCTGCCTTACACACGGCCAGGGACACACCCAGGATGGCATTGGCCCCAAACTTGGCTGGGAGATTACAGAGAAAGTCACTGAGCAAAAATGTCCCCTCTCCCTCATAGCCCCTGCCTCCACCTCTACTCCCTAGAAAAGCCAGTAAAGGAGACTTCCCACTTTTCCCCCATAACTCATTCATTTTCTCCTACAAATAGAGGGGCAGGGGGAGGAAGTGACTAGAGAGGGCAGAAAGTCTCACCCCTTTCTAAGCATCCCCCAGACTACCTCATGCCAGCTCCTCCTCTTTGTGCTTAAAGAAGGTCTTCCTTCTGTTCATGTTACTCCCTCCCACTGCAGTGGCTTGAAGAGGAGGGTGTCCTCTGGTACCACAGTGCCCCCAGCACAGCCCCTTACATTCTCTGTGTTTACCCACTTTCTCCCAGCCCCTGCTCACATTTGTTCTCTGTCCCATCCAACTCCAGCATCAGGTTGTCCAGTTTCTCTTGCTCCACCACGGAAAGACCCTGTGGACAGAGTCCCCATTACCCAGAGCCAAGATGGAGGCTCGACCCTAAGATAGAAGGTCCTGCAATTCACACACAGCCTCACTCTGAGCTGCATTCCACCAGATGACTCTGACAGCAGCCTGTAAGATTTAGGAGCCTGCCTTGAACTCCTGTGGGGGTAGGAAGCAGTATTTTTCCCACCCTTCCCTTGGTAACCATGATTCCTAAAGTGGGCCTTTCTCCCTCCCTTTGCCCCTCCTCCTGATCCAAGATTTCTTCCAGGACTCTAGTCCAGCCGCTGTCCCCAGGAAAGAGCGAGCCTCACAGAGCTGATGAGGGCTGGTGCAATGGTAGTGTTGATATGGTCCACTGCCTTTGTGACACCTAGAAAGAGGAAGAGGGTCCGGTCAAGGTCAGGCCAAGAAGGGTAAGAGACGGGGAGAAGAGGAGGAAGAAGGCATGCTAGGAGAAGTTTGGGAACTGGAACACACTAGGAGATAAGTCCTCACCTTTCCCTAAGTAACGCTGTTTGTCCCCATCCCTTAGCTCTAGGGCCTCATAGATACCAGTAGAGGCTCCACTGGGGACTGCAGCCCGGAAAAGACCTGGAAGAAGACATAGAATGAGGAAGGAGGGGGAGGACAGTCTGGGGCCAAAGATTCCTTCTGCCTTCAGCCTAAACACATTGCAGCCCTCTTCCCGTATGGTTCCCTAACGCCATACACCCCACACACGCGCACGCATGCTCGCAGATACAGAGGCAGGCAGCTGCACAGGCAATGGCCTCCTCATCTGCCCATCTGAGGCCTCACAGGCACAAGTGGGAGGCCACAGAAGCAAGCTATGCCAGGCAGAGTGTGGGCACTTCTGTGCTCACACAGGTGCACAGGCAGCCGTATAGAGGCAGGGCCTGTTTCACACTGAACTAGAACACAGACCTACCTAGCCTGGCTCCAGGAGCCAAAACCAGACTCCACAATCCAGCAGTGAGAGCCTGGCCCAGCACCGCATGGCCCTTGGGTATCAAGGAAAGCCACCCAGCCCTGCCCAGCTACAATGTAGGAGAAAAGAAGTGGGAGTTGGGGGAGGTTCATGCTCCACTCATCACCTTTGGCAGTATAGAGATCCACCTCCACGGTGGGATTCCCACGGGAGTCCAGGATCTCTCGGGCCCAGATCTTCTCTATAGACATGATGGCTGGGATCTCCTTGGGTGGAAGCGAAGGAAGGAGAAATATAGAGGTTTTAGAAGGGTGGAGCCTGAGCCCAGTGGGAGGGGCCAGAGGCTGGGAGGGATGGGAAAGAGGTTACTGCAGTGGGTAGGTGTTGGGGAGGAGCTGGCAGCACCCAGCAGCAGTAGAAGGGGTTCGCCCTCCCGCAATGGGAAGAGGGGAAGGTCAATGCAGCGAGTAAAGGGAGGTCACTGCAGTAGGGGGCGGGGTACGTCAAATGACGGGATGGGAGAACACCGCAGTGACGAGGGGAGGGGCACGACAGTGGTTTCGTCGCCCCTCAGCAGCTTCACCGACTAGTGGGGTTCCCCCAGATTTCCCCAGGTGGAATGGCTGCCAGGCTGGCATTTTGTTCCTTGGAACTTGGAGCAGAAAGAAGAGGGGTTGTGTAGGCAGGCATGGTCCCAACTTGGCAGCCCACCCTGCCGGGTATCTGAACGATTCAACCTGTCTCCCAGACGTGAATACCTCCTTTTTCCTAAAAGCCTGGGGACCGCGTCCTGGGGCAGCCCTCCAGCCCCAGGGGGCTGCAGTCGGGAGGAGTGGGGGAATCAAGGCTGGGCCCCATCCTCCCTCCTGTGCCCAGACAATTCCCGGTTCCTTCCATTCCTCCCCCATCGGAGAGAAGGAAATGTCAAAGGAGAGAGGCGGCGTGGAGGAGGGAGAGAGAGAGAGAAGAGTCTAGAGCAAGTCTGGAGGAGCCCAGGAGGGATGAGAGAAGACATTTTTCCAAATGCAAAGCAAAAAGGACGTGCCAGGAAAACACGCACAACCTGCGGAGGCACCGAACTTAAATCAGCAGCACCCGAGGCAAAGACCCGAATGGGGAGAGGGGCAGGACAGGGTGGGACCGCGCAGTGAGAGAAGCGGGTGCCTCAGAGGGCTGGTACCTAAACCGGGAGGAGCTGAGAACCGGAGCCACCAGCGGTCTGAGAAGGCCGGGGATGGAGGATGCGGGGAACGCAGGTGAAGAGCAGGTGCGCAGCATCACCCGCCCCATGCGCCAAGGCCAGGAAAGCTGGCAGCAGATGCGGCAAGAAGAGGAAGGGGGACGTGGGCCGGACCCGGGTCTCACCTCGGGGGCTTCAGACTCAGTTGGTGGCGGTGGCGGCGGTAGCGGTGGCGGCGGCGCAGAAAGAACAGGAGTGGCGGTGGCTGAGGCTCCCAGCGCGGGCGGGGGGCGGACTGGGGGAGGCGCCTATAGGGCCAGGCGGGCGCATGTGACCCGGAGCCCCCGATGAGTCAGGAGCTGCCGGCTGAGGCGCACGTACGAGCGCGGGTGGGGGAACCAATGGAGTGGGGGAGGGGCTGGAGCGACCTAGGACTTGGCCACCCTCTAATGCACACCGGCTCTCATAACTCCTGTCCAACCCACTCGAAGGATACAGGCACAACCTCAGACCAGGAAAGCAACGGGTACTGACCCACACTGATGGGGAAGCCCACCACAGACTCGGAGCCTCGCGAACAAGAGCCTCAGGAACAAGAATATCAAAATGTCTCTTTATTTGAAATCTGAACTGTTCCTAACATCCCAGCTCCTCTCTCCAGCCAACCCCATCAACATCCTGGGGTTCCCCCACACCTGCTTGAGGGCTGCCCTGCCTAGGCTCCAGGAAAAGCTCAGGCCCACAGGACACCCCACACTGCACCCCACACTGCAGAGATGACCAGAACACAGCGTGGGCCTTGGGCTGTGATGAATTTTCATTTTGGTAACAAACGGAAGCATGTTCTGCTCTCTATGGCAGGGAGAGTATGGATGTGGTGGTCCCCACTGGAGTCTTATCAAGTCTTGAAGCCGGCATTATTGGTCTCCTGGAGGAAGAGGACAGAAGTGAAGCCCGTGTCCTCAGTGGACATACCAGAGACCCTCCCTCCCAGGTCTTCTCAGTCTTGCGGCTTCTTTTCTGCCCTTTTCTCCTCGATATCCCTGTACTGTTATTTTTAGCTTTAGCTTTTTAGTGCAGGATCTTCCCCCTTCACTCCCTGGCCCAGCTGCATCCTTCATACACCTCCATAAACCCTTCTAATTCCCCACTACCACCACCCCCGACCTATCCCTTCTATGCTAGATATGGCTGCGGCAGCAGCTTGCCAATTCTCACCCCTGGTTTCCTAATGTCTTGTATCAGTCCCTCCCAGACTTCTCTGATCTTTTCTTCACATCCAAGACACCCTGCCTCTTAACTCTGACCTCTCTAAGACTTCTGGCCTTAGCTCTTCCTGATCCACCTCCTTCTACAACAGCTCTTCCCATGTGCCCAGCCTTTGGCCTCCTGCTGCTGCCAACCTGTGGCTTCCTTACTCTCCTGGCAGGCTAGAAGAGCCACTGCTAAGCTGGTGGCAGATACTGTTCAGTGTCACATTCTAGATTAACCTCCTGTTCCTGCTCCTCCTTCAGCCTCTGACGGATCTCATCAGCCTCAGCCCGGTCCTCCTCCTCATAGAATTCTTTGTCTAGGCGTTCGAGGTTTGCCATCTGCACCAGGGCCTCCTGGCGGTAGTCAGTCTCATCTGCACAGGGGTTGTCCAGCAGGACCAAGGCTCGAAGCTTGGGCAGGTCCCGCAGCTTGGCTAGCTCATTGAGGTCAGTCACCATGTTGCCCCTGACGGTGAGGTCAAGAGATGTTAACAGAGGAAAATGGGCTTTGGTTGCTAGCCCTAGGCATTGGGCCTTTGGGAGAATCTCTCTGCTGTTGGAGAAACAATGGGGAATTCCTAAATGCCAGCGTCTACCCTATGATGCATCATCCTATACTTCAGTGAGCTAGGGATCACCTTGTCCTGTAGTTGGAGAAAAGGGCGAAATGTCCCTTACAGGAGCAGACCTTTTCTGTGTCAGTCACACCGCAATAGGGGTTAGGAGAATCAAGTCAGTGGAGAAGGAACTGGGACTTAAGCATGGGGTAGGGGCCACGTGTTATGTTGGTGCTTTTGCAGTGAGGAACCAACAGCTAGAGATAGACTGGGCCTTCTAGCCTGAAGAAAAGCCCAGTCTTCTATTTTGTACCTCTTTCTCTTACTCTATACCAACCTTCATGTGTTTACTTCAATTTTGGGGGGGGGGTCTTTTTGAGACAGGGTCTCCCTGTAGCCCCAACTGTCCTGGAACTCACTATGTAGACCAGGCTGGCCTTGAACTCACAGAGATCTGCCTGTCTCTGCCTCCCCAGTGCTGGTATTAAAGGCGTGCACCACCATGCCTGGCCAACTTCAAATTTTTTAATGAAATTATCTTAAAACATTTCAGCTTGATCTCAGTGGATGTTCTGGGTCTCCTGGAACATTCTCATTTTATTCTGGAATGTTCTGTGTATAGACAGGATGTTTAACATTACTGCTACCAAGCAAGTCCCAGTCACTTAAACAAATGTGTGGCTGTAATGTACCAGCCCCCTAGTTCCTTCCAAACATGTCCAAGAGCCACCCAAGAAGGATCCATTACCCTGTCCAGACCATAAACAGAGAACTGCATCCCAACAGTATCACAGTGCAGAGCCAGCTGACAGGAGATTACCCAGGGGTCAGAGGCAGGGATTAGGGTTTCAAGGTGAACTGTCTACCTACTTGGAGACTCTCCAGCCAGCTCAAGAATTTCTTCCTGTTGCCTACGGAAAGAGGCCTTCCCTTGTATCATTGCTTAGAGAAGCACACATAAATCAGGGGAGATGGGGCAAGCCTAATAGATAAGCATGTTTTTTGTTCGGGGAGATTGTTACAGATGAACCCTTCTGCCTGCTAAGTAAGCACTCTACCAAATGGTACATGCCTATAATCTCAGCACTCAGGCAAGAGAATCACAAAGTCAAGGCCAGGCAGAGCTCTATGGTGAGACCCTATCTTAAAAAGAAAGGCATGATAGTGCACACCTTTAATCCCAGCATTCAGGAGACAGAAGCAGGTGGATCTCTGTGAGATCAAGTATAGCGAGTCCCAGGCAGCTGGGGCTACAGGAAGACCCTGTCTCAAAAAGAAAAAAAGAAAAAAGAAAGGAAGGGGAGGGGCAGGGGAGGAAGAGGAGGTAAATACAGACATAAAAATTCTTCAGGGGCTATAGCTTGGGAATGAGATAGTGGTTCAGTATTAGAGTATATACTTCACATGCACAAGTGAAGGTGTTCTAGGTTTGTCTAGGGTTTGATCACTAGCACCACAAAAATTTTCAAACTTATTTTTCAGAAAAGAGGAGCTGAGAGAAAATTCCCTTGACCCTGTTTATTTCCTTCCTTCTCTCCCTCCCTCCCTCTCTTCTTCCTCTTTCCTTCCTTTCTTCCTTTCTTTTCTTGTGTGTATCGGGGAGGGCAGGATGAGGTTGGCCTCAAACTCAGTGATCCTCTTGCTTCAGCCTCTTGGGTGCTGGAATTATAGGTATGAGCCACCATATCCAGCTTTTTTGTTGTTTTTCTTTTTTCTTTTCTTTCTCTTTCTCTTTCTTTCTTTCTTTCTTTCTTTCTTTCTTTCTTTCTTTCTTTCTTTCTTTCTTTCTTTTTTGTTTTTGTTTTTGTCTTTTTGAGACAGGGTCTTTCCCTGTAGCCCCAGCTAGCCTGGAACTCATAGAGATCCACCTGTCTCTGCCACCCAGTGCTGGAATCAAAGGCATGTACAACCACGCCTGGATGTTTTGCTTTTTTGAGACAGTCTCACTATGTGCCCCTGACTGGCCTGTAACTACTCATTACATAGACCAGGTTGCCCTGAAGCTTTCAGCAGTCCTCTTGCCTTAGATTCCTAAGTGCTAGGATTACAAGCATATGCCACCACACTCAGCCTTGAGATTTTTCTTTTCAAATATTTTTCTCTCCTCAAATCACTGTGAGTTTGAGGCCAACCTCATCCTGCCCTCCCCGATACACACAAGAAAAGAAAGGAAGAAAGGAAGGAAAGAGGAAGAAGAGAGGGAGGGAGGGAGAGAAGGAAGGAAATAAACAGGGTCAAGGGAATTTTCTCTCAGCTCCTCTTTTCTGAAAAATAAGGAGACAGGAGGGCCATCATTTACAGGTAGTACTCAAGAGAAAAGAGACAGGAAATGGAAAGGTTAATGGAGGCCCAGGAAATAAAGGGCATCTGTACAGAACAGGGCCAGAAAAAGGGCACTGGAGCCAGACTGCGAGTCCCTTAAGAACAGGAACTTCTGTAATAGTGGTGTATGCCTATAATGCCAGTTATTCAGGAGGCCGAGTCCAGGAGATAGGGGTCAGCCTGGGTGACACAGCAAGTCCTCGATCATTAAAAATAAGATTAGAGGAGCTGGAGAGATGGCTCAGCAGTTAAGAGCACTAGCTGCTCTTGCAGAGGACCTGGATTCAGTTCCCAGCACCCACATGGCAGATAACAACCATCTGTAACTCTAGTTCCAGGGGCTATGACACCCTCTTCTTGCCTCTGCAGGCACTGCACAACACCAGTGTGCTTACACACATGCAGGCAAAACACTCGTACATATAAAATAAAAATAATAAAATGTTTTTTAAAAATTAAAAAAGCCAGGTATGGTGGCCCAGGCCTTTAATACCAGCATGTGGGAGGCAGAGGCAGGCGGATATCTGTGAGTTCGAGGCCAACCTGGTCCATAATAAGTTCATGTCAGCTGGGGCTATAGGGAGACCCTGTCTCAAAAAACAAAAACTAAAAAAGAAAACCAGGGACCTCTTCCAATTCTTTTAGATGTTCCCAAAACACAGCACAGGCCTAACTTGACATACAGTTTCTTATTCATTATGAATTGAATGAGTATAAGGATTTGGGCTCCCAGGAAAAACTTAGAGTTGCAATTCTAACCAAATGCAGAAGACAGAAAAGAAAGCAGAGGGCAGGATCCAGAAGGAGAACAAGGCAAGGACCTGCGGGCTAGGATTGGGGGAGGGCCACAGCCTGAGGAGGTACCCTTGGTCATGGGTAGGTAAAAGGTGGGGCTCAGAGGTGCACACACCCATACCTCAAGTTGAGGTACTGCAGGGATTTCATTTCCTTGGAAAAGCCATTCAGAGTTTCAATCTGGTTGTCTCGAAGATGCAAGGTCGTCAGAAGGCTTAGATTCTCCAAACCTTCTATCTTCTTCAGCATGTTCTGGGCCTAGACCCCAGGATACAACACATTGACCCAGAGACGGGGGCAGAGATAGGGAAGGAACGGAAGTCAGAAAAAGAGGCAGCAAAAGAGAAAATCCAAGAATAGGGAAGAGTGGAGAAGGGGAGGAGGGACGGGTAGACAGTGGTTTAGAGAGTAAAGAAGTCGAAAGCCAGGTGAGGTGGCTCGCCCTTGAAATCCCAGCATTCATGAGGCAGAGGCAGGAAGATTGCCCTGGGTTACAAGTCAGCCCCAGGCTGGGTGCAGTGCAGCCCACCTTTAGTCCCAGCACTTGGGAGGCAAAGGCAAGCAGATCTCTGTGAGATCAAGGCCAGCTGGATCTACATGATGAGTTCCAGGCCAGTCAGGGCTACATCATCGTGAGACCCTGTCAAAAAGAAAAAGAAAAAAGAAAGAAAAGGCAAAGAGAAGCTGCCATCCCAATAAATATAGCACACCAGCTGTATTCCCCTACTACCTTCCCACCAAGGCAATCTTAATTACAGAGAGGTGCTTTAACCCACTCTTCACTGAAAAGCGTCTGCAGCACCATTATATAAAGAAGCACCCCCGGTCTAAATGAGTAGTCATTTAGAACCTGGTATGGTGGCACACACTTGTAATCCCAGCACTCAGGAAACAGAGACAGGGGGAGTGTGAGTTCAAGACCAGCCTGAGCTATATAATGAGTTCCAGCCAGTCTGGACTATACGGGTAGATCATGTCTTAAAAATAAACTAAATTGGGGCCAGAGAGATGGCTCAGTGACTGGATGATTTTGCAGAGGACCCAGGTTCAGTTCCCAGCATCCATATGGCAGCTAAGAACTGTTTATGTCTGAAGTTCCATGGGATCTGACACCCTCTCTGACTTACATGGGCAACACGGGTACACATAAACACATGCAGGCAAAACACTCATACACATAAAGTTAAAATGAAAAAAAATAAAGTAAAATAATCAAATAAAACAAAGCAACGCATGGTGGTATACACTTGTAAATCCTAGCATTGGGAGGCTGAGGAAAGAGGATTGTTATGAGTTCTAGGCCAGCCTGAACTATATAGTCATTACAAAGCCAGTCAGGGCTACACATCATAGCCCTCTTTCAAACAAAATAAAAAATAGGCTGGGGAGATGGCTCAGTCAGTAAAGTACTTTCCATGCAAGTACTGGTTTGGACCCTCTAGTACCCATGTAGAAAGCCAGGCTTGGCAATATTCAGTCTATAATGCTTGCTGGTAGGGGAGACAGGCAGATCCCTAGAGCCCGTTGGCCTGATGGCTTAATTAAACAGTGAGTTCCAGCTTTAGTGAGAGACCCTGCCTCAAACAATAAGGTGGAAAACAACTGAGGAAGACACTTGAGACTGACCTTGGGCTTCCACACAGAGCTCACATGCACTCCTTCAAGCACATATGCACATACATGAAAATACACACACACACACACACACAATAATAGCCAGAGCTGGGCATGGTGGCACATGCCTTTAATCCCAGCACTTAGGAGGGAGAGGCAGGCAGATTTCCGTGAGATGGAGGCCAGCCTAGTCTACATAGCAAGTTCCAGAGCATCTGGGGTTGTAAGGAGATCCTGTTTCAAACAAAACCCCCAAACTAATAATAATAACAGTAATAATAATAGCCAATTGTGGTGGTGTCCACTGTAATCCTAGCAGTTGAAAGGTGGAGGCAGGAGGATCAGGAGTTCAAGACAATCTTCAGCTACATACTGGCCTGGAAGTCACTATGTAGACCAAGCTGGCCTTCAACACACAAAGATCCTCTGCTTCCTGAGTGGCTGGTACCACCCACCACACCAGGCCAGAGACCTGTCTTTCTTAAATTAAAAAAAATTTTTAAATGAGTGTTTTGTCTGCATGTATGTACCTGTGTCATGCAATGCCCACAGAGGTCAGAAGAGGGCGCCAGATCCCCTGCAACTGGTTGTTAGCTGGGAACCAAACCTGGGTCCTCTATGAAAGCAGCCAGTGCTCTTAATTTCTAAGCCATCTCTCCATCCCCCAGAGACTCTGTCTAAATAGAATGATTTAAGTGGCTTCCTTACTTCCTTAATAATCTGTACCTCAATCTCAATAGCACATTTCACTATAACCTATATCAAAACATTCTCTCTGCATTATCCACATATTATATATTATAGTCCTGCTAGGTAGGAACCTCCCCCCTCCCCCTTTCTTTCTCTCAGAGACAGAGTCTCCTCTGTAGACTAGGTTGGCCTTAAACTCTCAGCAATACTCCTGACTCAGCCTCCTAAGTACTGGGATTATAGGCATGAACCTGAACCTATCATTTGTTTCAACTTCATATTTCCACAGACCAATACAAAAACTTATCATCATGAAGCTGGCCACTGAGCCTACTAGAAGCCAGGGAGTGTCTTTTCCCCCTACCACCCTAGGGCCCAGTGAGCTACCAGGAAGAGATTCTTCAGCTTAGGAAGGTTGATTCCCAGCGTGCTTTCTAGCTGGTTCCCCCGAAGCTCCAGCGTGTGTAGACTATTTAGTTTTCGGGGGTCCAGACCAGTCACCTTGTGGATGCGGTTCCCTACAGAGAAGGAGAGTATCAAGAGCCTGAAGGGCTATTCTGAATGATCAGCATTACAATTTTTGGAGCCTCTGTATTTCTCTCCCTCTAATGCAGGATGGAAAGTGAGTAGGATCAGCTCTAGACTAGTATCTTTGGAGCCACAGCAAGAGGGTCTGATGGACTTGTCCACCTAGGTTTTAAGAATGAATGAGGAATGCCCAAGCAACACACATGGCTGACTTCCTCCTTTCCTGCACATCTTTGCTCAAATAATGTTTTCCATGATGTTTGTCCCAGACATCCAGTTTGAAATTGCCACCTGTGCTGGGCCTACTGGTGCAGGCCTGTAGTCCCAGCTATCTGGGAGCCTGAGGCAGTGGGATCACAAATGCAAGGCCTGCCTGGGCTACAGTTGAGTTCAAGGCCAGCCTAGGTAATTTATGAGACCTTGTCTCAAAATAAAAAGTAAAACTAGGACTGGGGTTATAGGTCAGTGGTAGAGTACTTGCCCAGCATGTACAAGGCTCTAGGTTCAATCCCCTGTACCAAAAAGAAAGAAAGGAAAAAGAAAAAAGAAAAGAAAAAATTTCCACTTGTGCTTTCCCCAATTCCCTTCCTCTGATCTATTTTATCTATTTTTCTAATAGATAGTACTAGTCTCTCTCTCTCTCTCTCTCTCTCTCTCTCTCTCTCTCTCTCTCTTCTCTCTCTCTCTCTCTCTCTCTCTCTCTCTCTCTCTCTCTCTCTCTCTCTTTGACCTTTTTGAGACAGGGCATCCCTGGAGCCCCAGCTGGCCTGAACCAGGTTTGTCTTGAACTCAGAGACATCTGCCTGTCTCTGCCTCCCAAGTGCTGGAACTAAAGGCCTGTGCCACCATGCCTGGCTCTATAGTACTAATCTTTTTTTTTAATATGCTTTTTAATTCGCTGGGTTTGTGCAAGAACCCAGCCTTAATTCTAATTGTCTACTAGAATTTTTGAAACTGAGTAAACAGCTTTTTTCCTAAAAAGAAAGAAAGAAAGAAAGAAAAACAACAAACCCAAACTCTCACTCTATAGGCCAGGTTGACCTGGAATTCAGTATGAAGCCCAGACTGGCCTTGAACTCTAGCAATCCTGCCTCATTCTCTGATGGTGTGAGGATCACAGTTGTGGGTCACCATGCCTGGCTTAAACTGACTTATTTTGTCCATTGTTAACTGTCTACCTTCCTGAACTAGAATGGAATCTGCATGGTAACAGGTTTTTGGTTTTGTTCTCTGATGGATCTCCAGCATAAAGAACTGTCAAAATAAATGCTATAATGAATTATAATGAGTGTCTTGACTTTATTTTACAGGGGACCAGGCCTTGCACAAATTAGACAAGGGCTTTGTCACTGAGGTATATCCCCAACAATGTGAGTGTCTTAAAGAATGAATGAATTGCCAGGTGTGATGGCACATGTCTTTTTAGGGGCGGGGGCAGTTCTTTTTCAGACAGGCAGATCTCTGTGAGTTCAAGGCCAACCTGGTCTACATAATGAGTTCCAGGCCAGCTGGAGCTAAAGGGAGACCTTGTCTCATAAAGACCAAAAAAAAAGAAAAAAGAAAGATTGAAAAAATGCATGCAGATTCCTATGTAGTTCAGCCAAGAATAAGACACTGCTTATTTCTATCAACCCTCTGCTAGGATGGAAAGACCCTGTGGAGCTCTTCCTAAGGACCCACCTTTGAGATCCAGAATCCCTAGACGGGGATGAGTGATGCCTTCAGTGTCCATGATCTGGTTGTAGGCAAAACTAGCCATCTGCAGGTAGGGTAGCTCGTTCAGCCGGGCACTTCGAAGCTGATTGCCATCAGCCTTGAGCCACAGTAGGTGGGTGAGACAATTGATTGGTGACAGATCTGTCAGGTGGTTCTCAGAAATATCCACATAACGCAGATGGATGTAGGAGCGCAGCAAATAGATGTCTGTCAGGTCCCTAGGAGACGGCAGGAGGAACATCTAGGGTAAGGGGTAAGAACATCCAGCAAGAACTGGGAAGAGGTGCTAAAATAGAGGACAATATGGAAATAGCTTGTAATGGGGGTGGTGGGGAATGGTTGAAGGCATGGGAGGAGGATGAGAAGGCAGATGGATTTTTGATTTTGTTTTTAGTGCAGGGATTAAAGCCAGTGCTTCATACATGCTGGACAAACATTTTACCACTAAGCTACACCTCCAGCCTAGAGATTTTGTGAAAGGCAGAGACTCCACACTGAGGGATACATGAAGGAGGACAGCAAAATATTCTTCTATGGGGCTAGAGAGATGGTTCAGCAGTGAGGAGAACTGGCTGTTCTTCCAGAGGACCTGGGTTTGGTTCCCAGCACCCATATGGCAGCTAACAATCACCTGTAACTTCAGTTCCAGAGGATCTGATGCCCTCTTCTGACCTCTGCAGATACTGCATGGGTGTGCTTACATATGTGCAGGCAAAACACTCATACACATGAAATAAAAATTAATTAAGCTGGGCTGGAGAGATGGCTCAGTGGTTAAGAGCACTGACTGCTCTTGTAGAGGACCCCAGTTTGATTCCCAACACCCACATGGCTGCTACAAACTATCCTTAACTCCAGTTCCAGGGGAATCCAAAGCCTTCTTCTGACCTCTGCGGCATTGCATGACATGGGTGCACTCACATATGCACAGGCAATACACTCATACACATAAAATAAAAATAATAAAATATTTTTTTAAAAATTAATTAAGCTAGCCGGGCATAGTGGCGCATACCTGTAGTCCCAGCACTTGGAAGGCAGAGGCAGGCGGATCTCTGTGAGTTCAAGGCCAGCCTGGTCTACATAATGACAGGACAGCTGGGGCTTAGAGGGAGACCCTGCTTCAAAAAGACAAAAAAAAAAAAATTAAGCTGGGTGTGGTGGCTCATGCCTTAATCTCAGCACTTGAGAGGCAGAGGCAGGCAGATCTCTGTAAGTTCGAGGCCTGCTTGGTCTACATAGTGAGTTCCAGGACAACTGGGGCTACAGGGAGACCTTGTCTCAAAAAGAAAAAAAAAACAAAAAACAACTAAAACTATTCTCCTTCTCAGGGCATGGTGGTGCATGCCTTTAATCCCAGCACTTGGGAGGCTGAGGCAGGCGGATCTCTATGAGTTTGAGGCTAGCCTGGTCTACATAGCGAGTTCCAGGTCAGCTGGGACTACAGGGAGGCCCTGTCTCAAAAATACCAAAAATAAATAAACAAAAAAAACAAACAAATAAATAAATATAAAAATATTCTCCCATATACTTCAGATAAGTCTCCAGTTTCCCAAAGAACCTTTTGTTTGTAGTTTTATGGTGCTGGGATGAACTCAGAGTAGAGTGTTGCTAGACAAGCACTCTACTTGCTGAGCTATGCTCCCAGCCCTCAACAAGCTTTGGAGGTTCTGAAAAGTAAATTCTGCCCTCCTCTTCCCATTGGGCCAGGATGATAGCGACACACACTTCTAGACACAAAACACTCGAATGAGCGAGGGAAAGCATATGCAGCGCTCTAGTCTTACTCCTCACCAGATCCCCCAGAAGCTCACCTGTCTTTAGCCTCCAGCTTAACATAAGCATGAGCCAGTCCGTTCCCAGTCTTGCAGAGCAAAGAAAGCCCTTCCTTCATCATGCTCTCGTTGAGGGGGGTGGGCATCCACTGCAAGAAGAGTCAAGGCATCCCTTTGCAGCCCTCCCTCCACCCTGAGCCTTGAGACCCCGCCTTCTCCAGGCTCTCACTTCCTCAGAGAATTCTTCGCCCTCTTTCTTATACTCGTTCCAGTCCTCTAGCTCGTTCTCCTCTTCTTCCTTTTCCAGATCATTCTGGTCTGGCTCAAAGTCATCCAGATCATCTTCATCTGACATCTTTCTCCCCTCTGGAACCTTACGGAGTCAGATCAAGCTCAGTCCTGGTGCTGAGAAAGAAGGTCTTATCGCCCATCCCACCAGCCCTCCAATCCCTCCCCCTCCTTTACAGATGCCCTGCACAGGTCCCCATCACCTCTGACCTCCCAGCTGCATCTCTTTCCTCGTCCTTGGGGACATCTTTTGACTCTCAGCCTCTGCTGCATACTTTCTAAAGAGGACCCTTCTCCCTCAGGGCCACCTTCCCATGCCCCAGGACCTTTCCTGTCTTCACAGTAACTCCAACCCTCTCCCAGCAACCCCGTGTTCTTACTTCTTGGACACCCCTTGACCCAGTTCTTCTACACGCCCCAACCAAGCCACATCCTCCTAAAATCTTCTCTACCGACTCCTCCTCCTCCCCTCCATTATCCAAACCTTTCCTCCCCATTCCTTTCCACCCCTAACGCCTGCTCCATTCACGGCTTCAAACTTGCATTCTCTGCTTAGCACCATTTCCCCGACTCACTGGACCTCAGTCTTCAGCCCTCCCACCCAAGTCGCCTTCATAAAAGGGTGCGGACCCTGATTCTGCTTCCCTAGAAGCAGTTGTGGAGAGGGTCTTGGTGCTGAGAAGTCAGGAGTGTTTTGAAAGAGACGCGTGATTGGAGGGGTTGTGTACTGTTGTTATGGCAATGGGGGCGGGGCACTTGACTTCGCAGCCAGCGTCCGTTAAGAGCCTAACGGAGCTGCAAAGTGGGCCCCCACCCGTCCCGTCCCCTCCCCTCAGCGGGTGGTTCAATAGTTACCCAGTTTTGAAGCTAAATTTCCTAGCCTGTGTACCCGGATGAGGCAAGAAAAGTGTCCTGGGATTAATAGTCGGAGGACATAAAACAGTGGGCCGATTAGAACAGTGCAGAGAGGCGGGGCTGGCCATTAGGACCTTAAAAGAACCAGCCCCCCATGATGCAACAGTATTGTGAATTCAGAACATCCCAGAGAAGTCAAAGCGGGTGGGCACTTAGGAGAAGCACGAAGTACCAAGTTAAGGGATCTTGTTTCCGTATAGGCTCCGCACATTTGTTACATTCAGGTAGGAAGATCCAGCACAAGAAGCCCCAGCTTGGAGTCTCGACAGACCTGTTTAGTCACAACGTATCTAGGATTCTGTAGAATAAGTTTAGAATAAATCTAACAACGGACAGGAGTCCACTATGAGTTACTCTGGAATTTTGTTGTGTTTTATTTCTGAGATGGAATCTTGTAGGCCAGGCAGTCTTGAACTCACTATCCTCCTGTCTCAGCCTCCCAAGTTCCTGGGATTACAGGTGTGTGCTCCCAAGCCCAGCCAAACCTATCTATCTCGTGGAATCTAAAGAAAATAAAATAATTAGGTAATAAAGTAAGATAACGTGTGTTACAGACTTTAGATAAAATGCTAAGGGGTCTGATGGAAGATGTGAGTATTCCTGTGGCTGTCTAGTGTGGAGACTCATAATGAATAGACAATCCTGTTCATTTGCTGTCAATGAACTAATGTGGGCTTTAGAGACAGCAGGGGATTTAAAGCATAAACACTAGGTTCCAAACACAGCTGTAGTAGCTTTCTGTTCTTCAGTTATAGCACAGAAAATATATTACTGAGGTTTAACTTCCATTTTTGTGAAGTGGATATTAAAACATTAACGTGGCTGGATGAAGTGGTGCACGCCTTTAATCCCAGTACTCAGGAAGCAGAGGCAGGCGAATCTCTGGGAGTTCAAGGCCAGCCTAGTCTACAAGAGTTCCAGGCCAGCCAATGCTACATACTGAAACCCTGTTTCAAAAAATAAAAAGCAAACAAAAACCAACAAAAAATTCATCTTGGAGGCTTGGAGAGATGGCTCAGAAGTTAAGAGCAATGGCTGTTTTTGCAGAGACCCAGGTTTGAATCCCAGCACCCACATGACTGCCAAGTACTGTCTATAACTCCAGTTCCAAGGGATCCAATGCCCTCTTCTGTCCTCCGTGGACATTGTGTGACATGGGTGCACTTGCATACATGCAGGCAACACACCCATACACGTAAAATAAAGATAAATAAAAATTTAAAATCTCAACCAAGGGGGCTGGAGAGATGGCTCAGCAGTTAAGAGCACTGACTGCTCTTGCAGAGGACCCAGGTTCGATTCCCAGCACCCACATGGCGGCTACCAACTGTCCTTAACTCTAGTTCCGGGGGAATCCGAAGCCATCTTCTGACCTCCGTGGCATTGCACGACACAGGTGCACTCACATACATGCAGGCAATACACCCATACACATAAAATTAAAATAATAAAGAAAAAATAAAATCTCAACCAAGGCATGGCAACACACAGCTGTAAACCACAGTTCTCTGGAGGCTGAAACAGGAGGATGGAAAATTCCAGGCCAGCCTGGACTACCTCAAAACAAAACAATAAATAAGCATTCACTTGAAAGGGATAGAGAATTTAAAAAACTCTATATCTATAGATATAGATATAGAGATAGATAGATGATAGATAGATGATTGATGATAGATAGATAGATAGATAGAGATAGATAGATAGATAGATAGATAGATAGATAGATAGATAGATAATCAGTCACCTTGATGGGCTCTAGAATCATTAGGAGACAAGCTTCTGGGCATGCCTGTGAGGAATTACCTAGTTTAGGTTTATTGAGATAGGAAGACCCACCTTAGCTGTGAGTGACATCATTCCATGGGATGAGGTTCCACACTGACTAAAAAGGTGAAAGTGTACCACATTCGTCTCTTCGTGCTCTCAGACTGCAGATACAGTGTGACTGGAGGCCTTAACCTCCTGCTGCCATGTTACCCCCTCCATGATGGACTGTACTCTCAAATGTGAACCAAAATAAACCCTTCCTCTTTTAAGTTTGTTTTATCAGATATTTTGTCACAGCAATGAGACAGTAGCTAATACAGGAGAGGAAGTTTGATTTCTCTCTCAGATATGGCCTCTAATGTCTCAATCCTTCTAAACAGTAGAATCCAATGGAATTAGCATTCTGATGTATGATACTGGGTCAGAAAAAGTATGCAGTGCCTTCAAGGTTCTTTTTTAGGACATACGCTTTGTCAAGTAGAGTTTGTGCATAAGAAAGACTTTTCTGGCTGGAAAGATGACTCAGTAGTTAAGAGCACTGGCTGCTCTTGCAAAGTATCTGGGTTTGATTCCCCGCATCCACATGGCAGCTAACAACTGTCTGTAACTCCAGTTCCAGGAGTTCCAATGCCTTCTTCTGACCTCTGTGGGCACTGCACAACATTACAGTGAATAAAACTTGAGCAGACAATGGTGAAGAAAACTGACCACCTTGACTCCTGAGGTGGGGCTGAACCAAAATGACAAAGTACAGAAATGATTCTGAACAGGGAGGAGACAAAAGGAGAGCTTGACTGTAAGATTGGAAGCTGAACTTAAGAGTGAGTGGCACTATGGTGTCTGCATATTATGCAATGACTAGTGTTGTGCACGTGTGCACAAACACACACACACACACACACACACACACACACACACATACATACACACACACACACACAAAGACATTCTTTTTTTTCAAACTTTTTTTTTTATGTGTATGAGTGTATTGCCTGCATGTGTGTGAGTACACTCGTGTTGTGCATTGCCACAGAGGTCAGAAGAGGGCTTCAGATTCCCCTGGAACTGGAGTTAAGGAAAGTTCATAGCCGCCATGTGGGTGCTGGGAATCGAAACGAGGTCCTCTGCAAGAGTAGCAAGTGCTTTTAACCACTGAGCCATCTCTCCAGCTCCCCCCTTTTCAACATTAGAAAAAAATTTATTTATTATTTTTATTTTATGTGTATGCGTGTAATTGCCTGCATCTAGGTAAGTCCACCCATGTCATGCAATGCTGGAGGAGGTCAGAAGAGGCTGTCAGATCCCCTGGAACTGGAGTTACAGACAGTTGTTAGCTGCCATGTGGGTGCTGGGATTCAAACCCGGGTCTTCTGCAAGAACAGCCAATGTTCTTAACCACTGAGCCATCTCTCCAGCCCCACAAGACATTTTCAATGTGGATTTTAGGCATGGGGTTAAGAGAAGGAAAGAGGTGCTGAAAATGAAAGTTAAGGCATGCCTGAGCACGGATGTGGGCTTCTCTAAGACACAGCCTCACTTCATCATCTTTACAATAGGTATATATATAGGATTTTGGAGCTATTTTCTTCAAAGGAGGACTAAGGAACCGAAAAGGGTGTAAGAGTACCTGGGGGATTACAATAGATAAGATCACAAGAATGGGGGCTAGAGAGATGGCTCAGCACTTAAGAGAGCTTACTGCTCTTGCAGAAGACCCGGGTTCAGTCTCCAACACCCACATCAGATGGCTCACAATTGCCTGTGATTCCAGTTCCAGGGAATCTGATGCCCTCTGGCCTCTGTGAGCACCTGCAGTCATTGGTACACACAAACTCACATAGCCTCTCACATATACACTCTCATACAAATAAATCTTTTTTGAAACAAAGATCACAAGAATGCAGAAAGGTAGGTTATTTTTACTGAAAAGTTAATAGTCTGGAGATTCCCAGAAGATATCTGGGGAAGGGCGTGGGGCTTACTCAAGATTATATACATTCAGGCCTTAAACCTGGTCATTGCTATTTTCACATAAAATATTTATAAATGAAAGGAATTATTAGCCCACTATGGTGGCACACACCTTTAATCCCAGCACTTGGGAGGCAGAAGCAGGTGGATCTCTGTGAGTTCCAGGCCAGCCTGAGCTATATACTGAGTTCTAGGCCAGCCAGGGCTATGGTACTTGTATATACACAATATCATATATTTGGGGCAGATTCCAGAGAAGGCACCTGTACCACAGGCCTGAAGAAAGAGTTCAATGCCTGTTCAAGTAGAGCAGGTGGTTCTGCTGGCTAGAACAGCAGGTGCAGTGTGGGGGTGTGTGAAATGGGAGGGGAAACAGAGTTAGATCACAGTGAGGAACTTGGACTTCATCCTGGAAGCTGTGGGGAGCCTCTGAAGGCTTTATTTTGTGTTTAGTTGGCAAGGGCGACATCTACATTGTGCAATGAGAGCTAGATTCTTCATGACATCCTTGATATCTTTCCCCCAGTGGCTGGTCTACTTAGAATATACTTCAATTACAAAAGCAGTATTTAGGGGCTGGATGGCTCAGTGATTAAGAGCACTGGCTGTTCTTGCAAAGGACCCGGGTTTGAATCCCAGAACCCACATGGTGGCTAACAACCACCTGTAACTCCAGTTCCAGAAAATCTGACAACCTCTTCTGTCCTCCGAAGGCACTGCACAACACTGGTGCACTTACATACATGCAGGCATAACACGCATACACATAAAGTTAACTGGGC